TGATGGGGAATAACCCCACGCCAGCACTAGGGCTGACATCGGGCTTGGACGTTCCTGCCCGGCCCAGAGCTCCACTCGTCCTGCTGCCCGGCTCTGCGCTCCGCTCGTCCCTCCTGCTCGGCTCGGCCAGCCAAGCCGAGCCCGAACCCCGCGACAACGACGTGCGGAAAGCGACGTTCAACAAAGACTTGGTGAAAGCGATAGGATGAAAGGGACAAGACCTAAGGACAGGTGACGTCCGCTAAACGACGAGCCTCGATCAGAGGGCTTTGACTTAGTGAATTGTACCGCCTATAAAAGGGGTGGCACCCCTCATTGTAATGGACCCGAATTTTGAAATCAATATACTCCTACTTTGCACTCTCTCTCTCTCTAAAACTTATATTATTTCATACTCTCGGTGGTTTATAGCCATCAGAGGTAGTTCATCATAGCACATCAAATCAGATCTAATAAAAATTCCAAATTCATATGTTTGATGATTTTTAGACAAAATGAAATTTCAAAATATTTGAGTTGATAATTATTCTCCATCCATCCTAAAATTGCCTTCTCATTTACTATTCACTGAGTCAAGTTCTATAAACTTTGTTAGTATTTTGTCGTTATTTGTCTAACTAAAAATATAGGCAAATTTTATGGCAAACCTAAGGTCCACAATAGACTTACATATAAGCAAAATAAGTATTTCTTTAGTAGGTAAATAAGCATTTGTTTTTTTAAATAAAAAAAGATTTTTTTGTCTGAAAGTCGACAAAAATGAAATGCACTCAAGGTGCACCAAAAAAGCACTCAAAAATATATAGTCATACCACCTCTAATTTTATATATCTTTTGATATATTTTTTAAATATATAAATTTAATTAATTTTCTAAATTTCATACAAATTTTTCAATAAATTGAACTAAAATAACTTCAATCAAATATCGTAATGAGCAACATAAAATTAGTTTTAGGATCAAGGAAGTATTTTATTAAGAATAGATTAGCACTAAAAAAAGAATAGATTAGATTTAAGTCATTTAACTAACTAAAATTGTTCAAATATGAGAGTATGTGATTTGTTTATGTAATCTTCTACGAAGTTCTCGTTAATATTAATGTAAAATGACCAACTTCCTAAAATATTTACTTGGATTTTACCTTATTTAGAAATAGAGTAACACAAAAAATGTTGAGAAAATTCCATAAAAATCCTTTGTTATAGAGTGTTTTTCATATATAGTTTCTCGAATTTTAAAATATTAAATACGTGATTTTCAACATTTTAGAATTATTCCATAACCAATCCTCTCAAGACTAGACGTGAGAAAAATATTGAGGCCCACGAATTTAAAATTTTAGAATTGTGAATTCTGAATTATTATTTATAGAACTATATGCTTTAAAGCAAATCATTTTGGAAAGTTACTATAGAACCACATGGGGAAAAATATACTCATAAAGGCATATACATATATATATATATATATATATATATATATATATATATATATATATATATATATATATATATAATCACATTACTTCGATCATATGTGTGATACATATATACTCTCTTTGTTCGAGTTTAATCTTGGTATTTGATCTTTTACGTTTTGAATTTAACAACTTGACCATTAATATCGTAAATTATCTACGTTTATATTTTATAAAATTTTAATATTTCAAAATGAAATTTCAAAAAAAAATTATTGATATTATATTTATATTAAATCAAATCAGAAGATTAAATGGATGAAAGGAGATATGCATACGGAGTCCCACCATATATATAGGAATTAATTCTTCTAGCGAGTAACGGTTGTTGAATGGGTGCGTTGATGAAGAGAACAAATTGAAGGTGGGTGGGTATACATACCACGTCCGTCCGTCCACAATATATATATATATATACCAGGCCGGCCGCCGGCCGCCGCTGAAAACTTCTCCACATAGAAACAATATATATCGACTTGACATGACATATACGGTCAAACAACTTCTCCCCTTCTAACTATGAATTAAGAGGGTGCTTAATTGGCAGTGCGCTACTTTTAATAATTTAGCTTCTGCTTACTGTTTTACTCTGTTTGGTATGTCAACTTATGTTTTTCCCACCACTATTTTGTACGTAGAACACCGTTTCAGAGAAGCGGATATGAGGTGCTTTTGTTTTCCGCTTTTGTGAAAATCACTTTATCTACAGGTTAATCACTCCCAAACACCCTCTAAATGGTGTAAGATCCCGAGTTTAACTCCTGACTGATTTTGTTGAAAGATAAATATGCTAAGCATAAGGCCTCTGCAAGTAACTATTGCAAGTTCTTTTTTACTAATTTGCGATCAAAATTTAATTTACCTTCTCGCATTGATTGTTCGACTGGATGTGAAGATACCCTCAAGGATGAGGTCCATTTGGTGTAGTTAAATACATATGGAGTATATGTATGACCTTTTACCTCTTGAAGGGTTGTCTAGAGAGAATTCTTTGTTAAGATACCATTGTTTCACTTAACAATTCTTTGAAAAATAAAATTACTTGTGTTCAACATGTGCTCTATCTAAGCTCCACAATCGAGATCATGTTTTCTAACTGAAGCAATTCTTTAAGAACCATGCATCAAAATGCTCTAATTCTTATGGTTAGGAATCTTAGGACTATATTTTTAAATTTCTTATTGATAATACGCATTCCTTTCTTTACGATTTTGTAACACGCCCTCAGTCTCGTAAGATGTCATGTTTTCTTTATTTGGTGTCTTAAAATAAATTTTTCATTCCATTTAAAGAAAGAATTGAGTGGTTCAATTTTTTCTCTCATATGCAGAAACGTAACATTCATCGCTCCATCATATAATTTTACGTTTTCTTAAACACTGTGATAGTAAAATTAGGTATCCCTTTAGGGACGAATATGAGGGAGTAATATCATATCAGACTTAGAGTCTTTTCTATATTTTATCGGATTGATTCTTATTTAAATTTATATAAATTTCGTTTGATCAAATTTAATTCTATCTACTCTTTCTCGTCTGGTCTGGCCTGCATTTATCTAGCTTTTGTTAATGTTGTACTTCCTCCATTCCTTAAAGTCCTTCTCATTTTAACATTTAAAAAATTAAAGAAAAGATATTTTTGTGTTGATTTTCAAAAAATACCTTTGATATGATAACTAAATGTATGATGTGATGAGTTGATTATTGATAAAAATGTATGATGAGATAGGTAGAATAAGGATTAGTGGAGATAAAAGTGATTTTTTTAATAAAAAATGGATTTTATGAGACTAAGAAAAAAAGGAGTTTATGGGACTGAGGAATTGGAGTATATATTTCCGATCTGGTCTATATGATCTAAATCTTTTTAATGTGATCTGGTTTATTCTCATCCGTTCTAATCCGATTCTAATAAAAATAAGGATAAGAAAATATCTTAAACCAACTAGAAATCACTTTTTTTAAAACTCCTGCCCCCCCACCCCCC